CAGAATGAGATGCACGACATTAGGCTGAGTTCTCCGGCCAATGCTGGAAGACCCAAAACTTTCAGAATATTGACAAATCGCAACATTCATGAATTGATCCACTTTGTCCATAAGCCCCGAGCATAGCGAGTGGTTGGTAGATAGCTCTGGAATCTACACCAAGTCAGTCTTGACATCACTTTTGAGGAACCACGTTGGGTGTTTCTTGTGAAACTTCCACTCAAGAAGATACCCTGGGGTGTGGAGCGCCGGCAGCTTGTTGAGTTTGCGTTGAGCTCACCCAAAACATGGTTGAGCAGTATCTTACTGTCAGGGATTGAATTGAACTTCGCACGGTGCTGTGGAAAACACTATCATAGAGCATTTCTTCCACAGGATGACCTCTTCCAATGCCCGCTGCCGACAGCGCACATCCTTCGCGTCTGCTTGGGGCTTCTTTCGTTTCTGAGAAGGGAATTCCAGTCTTTCAATGGCATTAACCCCAATATCACTTTCATAACAGTCATAATGTTGTGTTGCCAGAGCAAAAGTTGGAACCTCACGTCATAACAATGGAGCATCAGGTAGTCGAATCGGTGGGCGGCGGAAGGCGATTGAGTTAGGGTTGTGGGGACATCCGCATGCGGCAAACCCCTCCTCCATGCCATGGCAGCCCACAACAGGATTTCCCCAGATCACCGTTAATGTATGAGCATGGTGTGCTCCAGTCCAGGTCCTTGACAAGTATTTCATGAGTTGTCTACGCAGGGAGAGGGTGGTTGCCGCATGGAAAACCTCGCAAAATATATCACCTCTGGCATCGTGGGTGTCTAGCTCAGTTAAGCACTGCTCCGCCACAAGTCCTTCAAGCAATTCAGGATTGTCAGGATTGAATGACACAGCCGTTGATGTAGAATTTCTTCCGACTGACGTGGTCAGCATCTGGGTAAATGACCAACACTGTCCCAGCAACAAAGCATACGCGGTACCCACTTCTTTCTCCCCGATCGGCGTCACAGACAAACAAAAATAGACATGTCGAATGCGGATATGGGGGCTCGTGGGGACCCGCGAGGACCATTCTTGATCACTCAGTGGATACGGATGTAATCATCGATGCAGAAACAGAAGTGAAAAAAGGATCACAAGAATTCCGTGGAGTCCACTCACAGCTTGTTGATGGCACCAGGTCATGGCCCAATCTGCGTCGAGCTTGTCGACCGGGCCCGTTCAGTCGAGGCACGTGACTCTCGGTCCGCCACCTTCACCCAGTGACCAGAACAGAGGAAGGTATGGGAGGTCCAAAACCATTTAGATGGTGAGACCGGGGAACTGCTCCTCTGAATATGTTTGGATTGATGTGGTCTTGCAGAATGGATGCTATTTTAGAATGTGTGCAGTCACATTGCTACACTCATCCTCGCAATATATATCATTGACCACCCAAAATACTCGATGATCATCATCTGCCGACTCCTGCAAAAGAAAACTGTGGGAATCTGGTGTCTAATCGCGTGGCTTCGGCAGCTTAGGCAAGAGGAGCCAGCTAATCGCCGTAGCACAGAGTAGGCCCACGAGCATAGGCTGCAGGACTTTAACTCCTGTGCGGGCTGAAAGGATTCCGGTCAAGACGGGAAACAAAGAACCTCCGATCTGGCCAAACACAAATACAAATGCTGGCAGAAAGTTAGTCAATAGCTTTGTAGTTGAGAAGCCAAGGAAGGGAAGGAGAACGGTCTGCGGGAAATATACACACCAATTGCTGAACTCCGAACATCTGGCGGAAATATCTTCGAGGCGACCGATATACCCTGCGCAATATGTCAGCATCGGCGAGCTGTCCCTCACAGAAACATCTTAGCATGTCAGTACTTACAGCGGCAAAGAATGGTCCAGAAAAGAACCCTAGAACGCAGATTGCGACCGCCTCGACAATGATACTCGGCACCCTGCACGTGATGCATTAGCAGTAGACCTCGTATCCAGGAGAATCGAAGGGACACCCACAGCCAGAAGACTAGCTGCAGTCCCACACATATTACGGCATAGAGAAAGATCATCCGCCGTTCTCCGAGTCGGAAGGTGGGCTCAGCCAAAAGCAACCTGCCCAGGAAAGCGCCTCCATAGAACCCAGTGGGGACATATCCCATCGCATCCAGATTGCCATGCCGCACGTTGACGAGATATTCAACCATCCAGCCTGATTCGCATTAGTCCCTGAATCACTAGTAAACAGGCCCGGTGCGGAGATGACAAACCTCCAGCAGTAATGGCCGCTCCAAGAAAAAAGAAGAAGTACAGACTGGCAAGCCAGACCGTGGGCACGCGCAGAGTATTCTTGATCTCGACTAGCGCACGGTGACTCTTGGAGTGGGAGTGGGCATGTGGATCATCTCGCGATCCCTCCGGTGAAGGGTCGGAAGTAGCAGACTTGATTGCGAGCTGGTTGTGAAACGCCGTCAGCACAAATGCTAAATTAAGAACCCCCAGGCCCAGAGGCGCCAGATAGAACAGATTCCACTGCGTTGTTGTTCCCACCGATGCCACAGCCGTGGCCACCAACGGACCGACCAAGCACCCTGCCATGTACATGGCATGGATAAACCCCAACCAACGATGGGCGGCATTGACGGAGGCAACATAGGTATTGGCGTGAGTGTCATTGTACGCTTGACCTAGACTGGCGAGAAAGAAGGTGACGACATAAAGCGAAAACGGGGGCAGCCAGGCTCGAAGGGCGTGGGAGAGCACCTGAAGGGCCGCGCCCAGGGCGAGGATAGCTCCGAGGCCGAGGTATTGACAGAGAGCGCTGTTAGTCACGGCGGCCAACAGCCATCCTGCGAAGGTTGATACATAGACCACGACGACAAGGTTGGTGCTCACATGGTAGGAGCGGATCACATGGGGGATTAATGAGCCCAAACTACCATCATTGACCCCGGCGACAAAGAAAGAGAAGCCGGCACTGAGGATTTTGGCATACAGCCATCGTTTGTCGGCAATGCTTGGCTCGGGAGGGTCGACTGATGCTGGCTGCTCTTGCGAGAGATCGATCATTTCCTGGTCTGGTTGCGGTCGCATTATGCTGGTTGGTAGGTTAGGAGGCAAGGAGTGGGAAGATTGAGAGATGAAGCATTGTTGAAATGTTGGCAGACCATGGATTGTACTGTAATAGAACAACTATCTATGGATGACTTGGGGATGCGGGGGCAGTTGGTTACATTTCCAGATCTGGCAATTCACGCAGCAGTCCAGTCAGTCAGTCCGATCTCTTGACGGAGCTGTCAAAAATCATTCTGGATCCTGCCGAAGATTAGCCGAGGAGCAGACGTTTCTTGGAGGCACCAAGGCACCGAGGCAGTCAGGCAGTGAGGCAGTGAGGCAGTAAGGCATCAACAAGCTCAACCGCTACTAATCTGAAAGAGGGGATCTTTCTGCCTCAGGCATTAAGAGTTATACCGAGGTAAAGCATCACGCTGACTTGACACGCTCACACACGCCTCCCGTTTGCTAGCTAGAACTCAATTGAACTTTTGGATCCTCTCGTGCACCAGCGCTGCAACATCATCACTGTTCTTCTCCAGAAACATCATATGGCCATTACCACGAAGACCCCAGTCCGCCAACCGCACATACTCTGTGCTCACCCCTGCTTGGCACAGAAATCGGACGGTGCACCAGTCGTACGGCGCATGATACGATGCCTCTGAGGCGACCAGCACCACGGGGGTTCGCTGCAAATTAGCCAGCTGGCGCGGAGGTGGGTCGTCTGCTTGAATCACACAGCCCACCTCATCCGGGTGGGTGGCGGGGATGGTAGTCGTCACCAAATCGGTTGCGGGATTGACCACCGCAGGCGAGTAGGCGATAGGAATGTCCGTCAAGCCATATGCGCGGGCGGATCCATTTCCGAAGCCGACATTGCGAAACGGAGGACCGCCTGGTTCCAGGGAGACGATCAGTTGCACGAGATCCGGTCGCTGATCGGCTAACAACCAGGCCATGATGCCGCCCTGAGAGTGTGCCAGGAGGATCACGGGTGTGCCAATCTTATCGAGCAGAGCGACGCCCGCTTTCTGCATGGCGGTCTCTTGGAGTACGTTGTCGCTAACAAAGGGCACGGTGCTGGCGTAATACTCGTCGAAGATCGGGTCGTGCATCACCCCGGATCCCGGCCACTGGGTGTGCAGCTTGGCTTGCGGCCATAGCTCATACCGCTCGGGAGCAGTGAAGTATCGCTGTAGATGCTCCGCCGAGTAAGTCTCCAGGTCTCCGTTCCACGACTGCCACGGACTGCGACCGCGGAAGGGTTGGTCGAGCAGGTAGCATTCATAGCCCTGGGCCAGGAAGTACGAGGCCCATCCGGGCTGACCGTCCGGTTTGTTCAGCCAGTTGGTCCCAGTCTGAGCCTGTCCGTGGATCAAAACAATGGGGTAGGGTTGAGTGACCCGCGTGGGGGTCAGTTTCTCCACATAGATCTGGCCGGTGCGAATGTGCTCGCCGGTGTCTGCCAGGGTAGTGTACTCGCCCCCGGCATAGAAATACCGCACGCGGTAAGGAAGATCCGTCCCCGAAGGGAGCATCAGCGCCAGCAACGAGAGTGCGAGGTTGACGAGCATTATGTTACTTTAATATCCTCTGGGTAGTTGGCCAAAATTGACCAAGTTACTTTCATCTTCCTTCCTTTTCATCCCAATTTTTTTTTCTCTCTCTCTCCTGCAGGTCGCACAATCGCCACGGCAACGCGTGGCTGCCTTGCTGGGGGTCATCGATGAGACCTGTCTTCTGGCGGCAGTTGCAGGCTGCATGCTGTTTTAGCCAGAGTCAAACGTCACACTGCTCGGAAGATTCCGAGCCTATCCCGTGAGTGGCATTGTTCATACAGTGAATGTGCCGTGCCGTGTTCTGTTTTGACGGCTGCCTAGGATGGCCTTAAGCGCACGCACTTTGTCCACACGTCACCCACTCTCCTCTCCCCCAGGCCAGTCCAGAACCCTATCAACTATCAACATACATACAATGCCAGACTGAATCCAAGCAGTAATAACCCACCGCTCACGATGCCACCTCCCAGAGTGCAACCAGTCGAGTATCACGACCTCGCCAGTCGCTCGTCCATCGACTCATTTGCCTCAGTCTCCGACTGGGAGCAAGCTGGGCTGGTTCTTCCTAGCAGTCGATCGCATCGTTCCTTCTGGCGCAAGTTGTGCAGATCCACTCCTACTCCTTGGCAACTCCAGCGTGCGAGACCACGTCGCTTTGCTTCACCTCGCTGGTCCTCCATCCGACAACTGTTTCGAATAGCACTGAGCTTTTTAATCGTTCTGATCAGCTGCACCGGTCTCATCTTCCCCTCTTACACGCGACTGCCGCCCCATTACCGATCGGTGGTCGAGCAAGCCACGCAGTCCGGCCAGCATGGCCGCGGCAACCCGCGCAACGAGCGCATCTTCATCGCAGCCATTCTCTACGACCCTGAGGGCACAATCGCGGGCGGCAGGTGGGGCGAGTCTCTCCTGCAGCTGATCGACCTTGTCGGCGAAGACAACGTCTTCCTCAGCATCTATGAAAACGACAGCGGCGGGCAAGGCGAACAAGCGCTCCGGCACCTGGAGGACCGCGTCGCATGCAACAAATCCATCCAGTCCGACCTGCATCTCGACCTGAGCACGTTTTCCCGGGTCACTGTCCCAGGGGGTGCCCAACGCATCAAGCGCACCGATTACCTGGCCGAGCTACGTAACCGTGCCCTGCGCCCGCTGGATGGCCCCGCAACCCAGCCCTACGATCGCATTCTATACCTCAACGACGTCATCTTCGACCCCATCGACGCAGTGCAACTGCTCTTCTCCACAAATGCTGCCCATGCACCCGACGGCGTGGCCCGGTACCGCGCCGCGTGCGCCGTGGACTTCATCAACCCGTTCAAGTTCTACGACACCTACGCCACGCGCGATCTGGAAGGATACGGGATCGGCCTGCAATTCTATCCGTGGTTCAGCACGGCCGGCCACGCCCGCAGTCGGCAGGACGTGCTGGCACAGAAGGACGCGGTGCGTGTGCGCAGCTGCTGGGGTGGCATGGTCGCCTTCAACGCGACGTACTTCCAGCGCCATGACCATCCTGTGCGGTTTCGCGCGGATAGCGACTTGTTCTACGACGGGTCCGAGTGCTGCATCATTCACGCAGACTTGCAGGATTCCCCAGCAGCAGCCGCAGGAAGGGTGGATGATCTGACTGACTCCGGGGTGTATATGAACCCCTATGTGCGGACGGCGTACACGGAGCGGAGCTTCCGGTGGCTGCGCACGACGCGGCGCTTCGAGCGGCTGTACTCGCTGGTGCACGGGATCGTGAGTCGCTTGGCCGGCTTTCCACGGTTCAATCCGCGGAGGACGGAGATCGCTGGAGAGGTGGTGCGTGAGAGGATGTGGGTGCCGGATGCGAGGCATTCCAATGGAGGATCGTACCAGACGGTTGAGCGGGTGGCGGATAACGACGGTTTCTGTGGTGACGGATTCGGTGGGAGACGGGGGTTACAGCTCATCCGAGAAAATCGTCAGGCGGGCGAGGACGGATGGGAGGAGATTCCTGTGCCTGTTGCATAGTGTTCAATGCCGTGGATAATTAAATGCACATATAAAGTCAATCTAAATTCTATGGTTTCTTGTGTACAGCACAGTGCGTCCGCAAAGGGTATCCCCAGCATCCCGACTCCCCCAACGCCATAATCATCACAATGACAGACCACCACAGAGTCACCATACAGGATTCATCAAACGATCGCAGCAGTAGGCACCTTGGACCAGTCGCGACACATGCCCAGCACCGTCCGACAGAACTTCCCATATTCCACCGTCAGATCGAACGCCCGCCACGACCCCTGCGCCAGATGTCGGAGTCTGGCCGAGGGGTCGGTGATGGGCTTCGAGCCCATGTTCCCATATGCCCCGCGGCCGGGACTGCCATCGTGATCTCAGTCAGTCATAGCCAGTAACCTATAAATGGTGCACATACCTGAACCCCGTGATGGGGAGAACCACAACATCATCGACCAACTTACTCCTCCCCCCATCTTGAAGTCCCGACAAGGCCTGCCATCGTAGATCAGCTACCTCCTCGAGCCGGCCACGCACTGCGTCCGTGAACGCGGCAGGTCCAGTCAGCGTGAGCGGATCGAGGGCGAGTAGCTCCTGATGCGCAGCCCGGGAGTCGAGAGATCCGCCGTATCGGGCGGAGATGTTGTTCAGGGTGGTTGAAAAGCGATCGAGGAAGGTCTGCAGGATCGGATGGCCGGGTGCCCAGGCAAAGGCCCACTGGGTCAGCTGCACAGGCTGCGAGTAGCCCATGCGCCAGTAGGTGTCGGTGTCCTCACGGCAGTCGGCCTCCAGCCCGACGATGGCGTGCACTGGACCGGTCGAGTTGTAGACGACGCCGGTCTGCGTGTCGTTCCAGGGGAGGAGGTCGGTCGCGCTGAGCCATTTCGTCGGGGGGCGGAGGGGCTCGGTGTCAATATCGCCGTACTGTCTCCTATCAGTCTCCATTCTTCGGAAAGATACAGATACTGAACCAGGCTGGGCTGGGCTTACCACACCCCCAATCCACTTGGACACCAAGATACGAAAAACATCTGATCGCTCGACGTTGCTCGCCAGACTCGCGAACTGCACCTCCAGGGCTGGTTCGAACTTGCGGATCAATTGAGCCATTCCCGCATCTGTCCACATGAAATACGCCATCTGCCCGTCCGTCGCCTGCAACCAGCGCTCGGCGCTGTGGCGGAGGAGCTGGGACCAGGTGTCGATGTGGGTGTTCTTCCAGGTCTGATGCACGACCATGGGGATGGCTGAGTGCGGCAGATAGCGCTGGTCGGTGTCGACGAGGCCAAGAGCCAGCTCGGCGGCTTCGACGATGTTCTTGGGTTGGTGGTCGGATGCGCTCATCCATGTTTGGGGGATATACCAGGCTGTGCAGGTTGTCAGTCAGTCATCTTTGTGTTTGTGGGATTGTGATGGTGGGCGGGACCGTACCTCCTCCTTCCGCATGGTGCGTATGGACATGATGATAGAGCAACGGGTATTGATTCTCCAAGGTCATCAACTCGTTATCCCACGCTTCTCGCTGATAGAGCGTCCAGATCATGAGCACTGCACCGAGGAGGGCGAAGATAGCCAGACGTCGCAGCCGAGTGGGTGCCATTGCTGCTCCTCGTGTTCTATACTGGGTGACAAATGGTGGTGTTGATGGTCGACGGCCTCACGCTTGATTCCAATCACGCATCATAATTAAGCTCCGATGCTAAGCCGCCGACCCAGGCGTGGGTAGTGCCAGATGCCATCCGTTACAACGGTTACACAATACCTAGGCAGCGAGATATCAGACCCGGAGGGCAAGATCTACTGGGTCTACGACACGATGCGACACACATCCCACCGGAAGTGAATGTGAAATATGTCTGCCTGGAGACAGCGCCGGTCCACTGCCGCCACAATATCCCCTACCACGTATGCAGGTGCAGAACGGTCGAGCCCGGTGGGCGCAAGCAAGATACTGAGTAGAATGATTGCTCACGACCAAAGACCCCCGAACGCACGACCCCAAAAATCAAAACCCCCGGGCCAACTCAAATATGGATCATGTGTATATTTTCATGTATTTGTGGACCAAACAGAGGCTGAGAATAGGCCTCGTTGCTGCTTGTCAGTCCGGATGTGAGACATTTGACCAGCACTAAAACTAGTCTTCAGTTCAGGGTTTTCCGTGCGGGAAGGTTTAGGCGAGCAAACACCCACCAAATGGCACCAAATGGCACCAAATGGCGGGACGTGGCTGTAATCTGAAACTCGTGGCAGAAGGCGGAAATGGCCGAGGGTTCCAGTCGGTGTGTGATTCAGGGTCAAGTCTTATTCTGTTCCGATTTAGTTCAGCCCTACGGAATTGCACCCCTTTTCCAGCCTTAGCCGCCAAAATTCGAAAAAGCTTGGTTGTCCTGCCTAGCGAGTGACAGTCCACACACTGCTGGGGTTTTCCACCATATTTTCCAATTCTTCCCCTCCACCTCTGGAAGGGTTGGACTTGGCTTTGCATCAGCACGGCCGGTCCAAGTGCTTGTCTCAGCTATCACTATAACAATCTACGATCTTACTTGTTCTGACCTGCACTCATCCCTCCGATGCGGTGAAGGTTGACCGGCCCCCACCCGGTGGCTGTTTGGGGGATGTCCGTCTGTAACCCGCGGAACCCGAATGCCCTCATCTTCTCTCTGGTCGGCTCCACTGCCCTCGGAACCACAGACGACCAGAATGCCTTGTTTGGGGCTAGTTTGTCTGGCCAGGTTGCAGGCTTTACGCTTACACGCTTACACCAATCGGCAGGTCGGTCTCATCCTGGAATTAGGAAAAGGTCGTACGGGTGAAGGTTTAGGCAGCCATTATCATGGCGGCTTGTATGCATGCTGGCCGGACCTGCAGGCTGGGCTGGGCTCCGGTGGATAATGCAATGAGCCTCGCGGGTGGATACATGGTCGTGACATCTCATCCCCCTTGGATCTCGCCAACAATGTTGAACACGCGGCCCGGGGAAGTTCTTGGCTCAATGCTTTCTACGTGACTCTACACACGCACCCATACACACACCCACCTTTTCATCATTCTTTGTGTCTCCTCTCGCCGATAACCAGCATCCACTGTCGATACGATGGCTTCTTTACGAGTACGGCTGCTCTTCGTCGCAGTCGCGGTGATCACACTAGCGGGTCTGTCCCTGCCCATGCACGAACTATATCTCCTCCTCCGCCTGCCCTTCGTCTGGAAGACCTCCGCCGCCGACTCGATCCTCTCTACCCAACGCGACGGATTCGACGTCACTTTCGCATCCTACGCCAACAGCAGCGGTCCCCCAGAAAACGCGCGCATCCCCAGCCGCCTCCATCACGTCCACCTGGGCCCCAGCGCACCGCGGGCGGAATGGCTGAGTGCCCGCGCACAGTGTCTGGACCATCACCCGGACTGGGAGGTGTTCCTGTGGGAGGATGAGAACGCCCACGAGTTCGTGAAGAGCCAGTATCCGGATCTGCTGGCGATGTGGGAGGGATATCCGGCGCTGGTGCAGCGGGTGGATGCGCTGCGGTATATGGTGCTGCATACATACGGCGGTATGTCTTTCCCCTTTTCCCCAGAGAAAACAGCGAAGCACTCTTTCTAACAACGATGTTCAACAGGAGCAATCCTAGACATGGACCTCGCGTGCAGACAGTCCCTCGACCCCCTCCGCGAATTCGAGTTCGTGGCCCCCGCCGCGCACCCCGTGGGCATCTCGGTGGGGATGATGCTCGCGGCGCCCAACAACGCCTACGTGCGCGCGCTGGTCGACAACCTGCCCCGCTTCAACCGGCGGTGGGCGCTGCTCCCCTACATCACCATCATGTTCAGCACGGGCTGTCACTATGCCTCGTAAGTTGTTTTTCAGTCTTTCCGCCCGAACGCACAAGCCCCTAACGTAAGCTCCCCGTGGTAGGACAATCTTCACGTTGCAATCGAACCGGTCCGCCCTCCGCGTCCTGGCCGGCACCCCGGACCACCCGACCCTGCACATGCTAAACGGATACGTCAACACCCCGCTGTTCCAGCACCTGGGCACCTCGTCGTGGCACGGGCGGGATGCGCGGTGGATCAAGTTCTTCGCGCACTGCGACCAGCGCCTCTCCTTCCTCGTGATCGTGGTGTTCCTGCTGTCCTTCGTGGGGGCCGTCTGCTTCTGCGTGGCGCGAGGGCGACGCGCCGCGCGACGACCGGATCCCACGCGCACGGAGGCGGCCAAGTCGGAGGGGAAGATGGTGTAGCTTCGTGTTTCCGTTCTCAAGGGATGTTATGTACATTAGCTCCTTGTTCGTATTCGTGGTATCGATCATTATCTGTAGATTCGTGGTTGTCCCTCCAGTGCCCTAATTCCGGACCCGGTAGTTCGTACCTAGTGTACTCCCCAAATTCGACCAGCCCCACTAAACAACCACTGCATGAAATTTACACCCTGAAAAGCTACTGCACGCGCGCCAGATCATTGAACCACATATACCGACTAACCACCAGATACAACACGCGGTCCCACGAGTACTGGCTCGCATGCTGGGCGAACGCCGTCCGCGCCACGCGGTAGGTCTCCCACGAGCTGACCAGCAGCGCCGTGTCCTCGTAGCGGTCTGTGACCGCAAGACCAGGATCATGTTCGGGGCTCACCATCAGCGCGCGGAGGATGCGCCCGGTGAAGGGCAGCGCGGTGCGCAGCAAGTCCACCAGCGAGGCGTATTTGCGCAGCAGGAAGACGCTCTGCAGCATGTAGGCGGGCGGGGCGGTGGGGGTGGTTTGGATGAATTTTCTGCACCGTTGACTCATTAGCTGGCCCCTACCTTCTGCCAGCCGGGCATAGGGAATGGATATTGGGGAGAAGTATCGAAAGGGAAAGGGGAAGGGAAAAGCTCACCTTACACCCCCGCTCACAGCGCGGTGGTTCACATGCCCCGACACACCCCCGTCGTCGAAGGTATACAGCAGATCGATGTGCCACTGCTGCACGTACTGCGCGACGACCTCGCGGATGAGATCCTGGTCCCACCAGGCCTTGGGGTTGTCCTGCAGGTCGCCCCGGTCGAGGACGATGCAGCGCTCCGGCGCGATGCCCAGACGGTCGCAGCTGCGGTGGATTTCCTCCTGGCGGGTGTCGCCGAGCCCGTTGTAGTTGCCGCAGGAGAGGACCAGCAGGGCGCGAGTCACCTCGGGGTTGGTGCGGTGGTAGAGGATGGTCGGGCTGAAGAAGAGGGTCTCGTCGTCCGGGTGGGCGGTCACCAGCAGGATGTGGCGGGCGCGCTGCACGCTGGCCGGCACCAGTCGGGGATCGTCCGCCAGCGGGTACGCCAGGAGCAGGTAGAATCCCACGGCACAGGAGACGAGGGCGATGGTGATCGTGGCGAGGAGACGTGGTAGGGGGCCTCGTCGGAGTGGACGTCGTAGACGGCGGAATACCGGTGGGAACTGTGCCATAGCGATGGATTGACTGTGGTGATGAGGAAGAAAGTAGAGGAAGAGAGAGGAGCGATGGGAAGTGAAGTAAAAGAGAGAAAAGAACCATGGATAGATAATAAGAAGAGGCAGGCAGCCGGATGGGATGTGGAAATACGGTACTGTATGTATTGTCTGTACTGGGTACTTTATGTACTGTATGTACTGTTATTCGGTCTAGATTCGGTCGCAGGAAAGTCAGGTGCGCCCCCACTACCCTCACTGACCCACTATCAATCTACTGACTACTAGGTACCTCTAAATACTCATCAAGAGACGCACTTGAGATCTTCTCAATACCCACACAACAAATCATCATCCATCGGCCAGAACAACCACGGGCCCATCATATTCCTTTCGGCCTCGCCATAACCAAAATCCACCACTCCACAGCAAGACAGCCCCGAAGATCAACGAGGCGTAATTCATGTTCGAAGGAGTAACCGGCTGGTAAGCGGGAAAGACCATGAAAATACTCGTGAAGCAGAGATAAAGAATGGCGACAATGTTGACGATGATTCCAACCCGACCAAGGCTCCACGGCCCCGGCTGCAGGCTATGCGGCAGCCAAATGCGACGCCACAAGAAGAAGATAATCGGAACAACATAGGAGACGTGCAACCCGAGAACAGCGAGAGAGAGGATCGCGTTAAAAGCCGTGGTCGATCCAATATTGATCAGTCCGAATAACACGAGGAGGCCGGTGGTGACAAGGATAGAACGTGTTGGTAGGTGGGTGTGATTGTCAACGTGAGAAAAATAAGTAGAGAATGGGAGGGCTAGATTGTTCATCAGCGTGTTGAATCCCAGAACGCAGTTGAGCAAGTCATCGTACCTCTATCTCGAGCCAGGGACAAGACCATTCGAGCGGTCGATGCCAGCAACGCGATCGTAGCCAGCCATGCCGTGAGGATGAGAACGGCGGTCATAACACAACTCGCGGCCGAAGATTGCGTTGCATTGCGGAAGATCTCAATAATCGGATATCCTGTACCAGTGTCCAGCGCACTCTCCATGTCTCCCATGCAGAAAAGAATAGTAACAAGGTATGCGAATCCGAGGATGCCGTTGATAGCCAGGGAGCCAAGCATACAGTATGGAACGGCTGTGGTGGCGTTGGCCATCTCCTCGCACAGATGTATTGCCCCGTCGTAGCCTGTGCCAATATTTAGGATCAACGTATGAGGCCAACGCCAGACAGACAGAGCACAAACCTGTCAGAACGTAGCAGCTTGAGAGCATACCCAGACACCAGGCCAGTCCGTCAGAAGACCAGCCAGTGCTATTGATGAATGTCGTGAATACGAAGTGTGCGTCATTCGTTGCCGGCGCACAAACCCAGACAGCAATCAGAATAGCAACAAATCCGACCAAGTGGATCAATAGTGAAATGGCCTCCACCAAGGATAGCAGACGACTACCCCACACATTCAGAACGGTGGCCAATCCGACCATAGCCCAGTAGATCAGCGATACATGCCAGCGCTGGGGCTGATACGTTTCGCGGGTGAGAACCACCAGGCCCTGAACCATACCGGCAGAGAGATAAGGGGCGCTGGCGGTGAATGACACCCATCCGAATGTCCCTAAAACGGTGTTTCGCAAAGATCAGCTGGTCTTGCTGGCCCGCTGCGGCTGAAGAGCTCACCGATCCATCCAACAGCCCAGCTGAAGGATCTCCGCAATGGTTCTGGCGCAAATTTGGCTGTGAAATGATACTGCCCCCCTGCGGTAGGGTATCTATAAAGTAGTATGAGCCTGGTGCACTCAATCTTCGGCAGGAGGCACTCACATCGACGCCATTTCACTCAACGACGCTGCGGTCGCAATCGAGCCAACGACTGCCACTATCCTTCTGGTCAAAACCATCCGTGAATCAATTGAGGCAGAAGAACGAACAAAGATACCCATAGACCAGCGAAACAGGACCACCACTGACAAGACCCGCTGCCATCGTACTGTACAAATTGTGGTCGTCAGCCCACTGAGCGCCATCGTCTGTTCAGCGACAGCGCGGATTTACCTAGAAAAGGCCTCCCATGTTGACATCAGAACCACAGTCAGCGACAGGATTGTGAATCGAGAGAAAGGCTTCTGCTCTTCCACAGGTAAATGTCAGCATACTACCGAATGCCAGATGGATGAAGGTGCAGCTACCTGCCTTCAATTCGACCACTTCTCCAACCCCGCTGTGCACCCCATCGTCCACCTCGCCCGACTTGGCGGTGCAACTGTCTTTCGAAGCTTTCATGCTTGTAGCCATTTTGATCGTGCGATCGTACGGTGGTGAGATGCCTGAAACAAACTCTGGGCGGGTAGAGCAGGCGTGTATAAGGGGAGCAGCAAATATGCATTTTACCTACAATGATCGATTCTATGTAACCCTCACAGGCGGCCAATCATCGTAGTTGTTGCTGGGCAGAGTTGCCACTCGCCGGGTTGGCAACTTGAGTAGAGATAAGGTAGGTAGGTAGCACTTTATCGCTGAAATTGTACAAAAAGTGCGGGCCAGTAAGATCACGCGGCCGGGAATATCGATAGTAGCTCTTATCACTACTAGGTCGTTTGCATCCAGCATCGAATGCAGCGCCGTGATTCAATGGCAGGTAGATGAGAATATGCACAAGCGGGTCGCCGAACATGAAGAATTTGAGATCAACCCCAGGAGATGGGTAGGACTAGTGAAGAACAATAGTAAAGCCTTTGCTTCTCCTCTCTCCTCTCCTTGGCAATTGCCATGGGCCTGGTGCCTCGTTTAGAATCACCTTCAGCATTCCCAGGCAGACGATAAGGAGAATTGCACATTTCATGGAAGTAATTAGGTTGGGCTGAAAGGCAGCTGCGCTTGTATTTGATTTGGCCGATAATGGGACTATGCGGAGACAGTTTTCGCATATGTATATCTAAACTCAACATCTGATCACTTTCCGAGAGTATCGTTGAGCACGGTGCCATAGAGAGTTTTCTTTCTTTTCTTCTTTTCTGGTAAGAAACAGCTACCTCGTCATGCGATAATCTGATGTAGGTACCATTAAGCGCAACATCCAGGACGACCCCAAGACACTGCCTGTCCGGCTAATTTTGTCGGCGCTCCTCCTCACGCAAGTCTGAATGTGCCCGCAAAGCAATCGCAAGCAGAATGGCGCCCAGTTCATGCATCTGAACGGATGATGTTATATGCCATGGGCCGTACTCATGCATTGTAAGGAAATGGGGGCCCGTGCTTCGGGCAGGCTTGCTGTTCAGATAGTCGACATAATCTTGATGGTATTCAGCAAGTATAAGAAATGACTGATGCCGATTCAGGGAGACTTGCACCCGTCTACCCACATTCCCGTCTATCGGTGCCCTGAAGCATGGAAGATGTTGACCAGACTTACCGGCATATTCTATTGAGGTTACCGTCTAGAACTGAATCTGATTTGATCCATGCTACCATTTTCGCGGCTTCCAGCATCTTGACCAATGCTCCTTTTAGACTTATATGCACTGGCTCTACTTCGATGAGAGTGAAAATCTTTCAATTACGTTGCGGTCATGTTGTAAGGCACACCTTGCCTTGGTTCTGCCTCAGGCAACAGGCCGACACTCGGGACGCAGATAGCCGCACAGTTAGCCAATAGGATATCCAGCAGTTATCCAGGGGGCTTATCTCCACTCGGCATTGAAGCGGAATGCGGGGAAGAAGACAGATTGAATACAGTGTCTCTTTGCTTCCTGGTCTTTAGGTCATTCATCATAGTTCGGTACAGTCTCTTATCCTGACCTTTTTCACTTCCATCGAGGTCGCAACCGAAGCTGCTTTACACATTTCCAATGTCAACCCCGCAACCAGTCTCTCGTCGTAGAGTTAAAGCTCGGAGTGAGTGCGACCTGCTACCCAGTGCAGCGGTGTCTACCAGTGTGTTCGAACTAACTTATTGCTCATTCAAGCTGGCTGCCTCCGGTGCAAACAGAGAGTAGGGAGACTCGTCAGACTGGAGCTCCATGTGCCCTGCTAACCAAATCTACACAGCGAATCAAGTGTGACGAAACGGTACCGGCGTGTACCCAATGTACGCGGAAGAACTTTGACTGTCCGGGGTACAGACGACCCTTGAAGTGGTCCTCCAAGTATGAGGTGGAAATGGCCATCGCGCACTCACCCACCGAGCTGCAAGAGACCATGGAAACATTGCAAGCACATTTCATTCAGTCGAGAAGGTCAAACGACTCCACAGTCAATGCTCATCGAGCTGAAGCCGCTCACCGAACCCAAGCTGACACCGAGTCACCATTCTGCATTGATGAAGACAATATCTCCACTCTATCGACCAGAGGGAGTCCCACTACCAGCGAGCTAATGAGGTTGGCCAACCTACGTCAGGTCTACACAACTCTGGAAGATGACGACACAACTCTGCTACGCCACTATTTCTCTAAAGTCTGTCCAGTAAACTCCTGCTTTGACTCGCACAAGAATTTCTTCCGCATGGAGCTCGGAGCCCTGATAAGCTCTCGTCCACTGATCCACTCCTGTGTCCTGGCCATGTCAGCCGCTCATCTCACCCCAATACGAGGTGATATGGTGACAACCACCTTGACCCACCGATCAATAGCACTAGCCTGTCTGAAAGCGGAGATAGAGGCAGTGTCTACCCTGCGTCGGAGAGAGAGCGCATCATCACTGGAAAGGACCGTCGAGATGCTTCTTGGTAGCATACTTTTGGGAATGACTGAGGTAAGTCATCCGCTCGATCCTTGCACCACCACAATTGACAGCTTGAGATAGGGATGGCATGATCCGATGCAGTTAGGTATCACTCATCTATACGGCGCCCGTGTCTTATATCGCAAATGGCTGTCAGCCTCGACGATACCAGGCCCATCCTCCCGAGTGAAAGCTTGTCCTCGAACCAGAAGTCTGATCACTGGTCTCATGGTTTACTGGGAAGCAGTGACTTCCTTCGTTCATAATCAACCGTTGGACGCAACCGCCTATTTAGCGACCGATGAGCCATCTACCATCTACGTCAACCCCTGGACCGGCATTGGCACGCGATTGTTTGCCTGCCTGGCTAAGATCGGCACCCTGACAAGACACCGGTCTTTGCTTCGTCAGACGTCTGTCGCCGCCCCCTTCGCGGCTGGGTGGGAGCAAGCCAGCACCGAGATGGCTGAACACGCTCGCAGTGTGGAGACCACGCTCCTCCACTACCAAGTCCCTGGGCAGGAGCAGATAGAAGACACAGTGGATGCAAGAACGCCTGTCGACCACCTGCAACGACTGGCCCGGATTTATCAACAGATAAGCCTCCTTCAACTGTACATGACCTTCCCCGACCTCGATGCGGGGTCGAAGGACGAAACGCTGCTGCATGGCCAGGCTTCGTGGGCATCGAGTCGGACCCACCGTATTTTAACCCTGGCCACGAATGTTCTGGCCGCTATCGGAGTTCTTCCCACCACCTCCGGCGTCTTCTGCCTGCTCACGATACCGCTGATTATTGCCGGGAGCGCTCTGCAGATTCCTGTGTGCCCTGCCCCGCAGCCACACGAAAATGGTCAACCCTCACCAGATATCCTGAGCTCTACCCTGCAGGAAGATACCTATCTCTTCTGGCGGAACTTTGTGCGTGAGCGCATCGAGACCACTCATCGAATCATTGGCGTTGCCGCTATCCCCCGGGCGCAGGAGATTCTGGACCGGGTCTGGTTCCTGTCCGATGTACGGAGGGTTGCAGACGAGCCTTGTGGGTATTTCGAGTACGTCCAGTGGACGGAAGTGATGGTTGCCGAGCGATTGGAGACAATCTTTGGCTAGCATTGTCTAAGGGTGGCATCGACCGCCAATCTCAATGAAGATGGTTCGGATTCTTGTATACCCCTAGTACGCAGCCTGAGGCTATTGCCGCTAGCCGCATTTGGTCAAATAGTGCGTCAAGGAACAAGATGCGATTGGTTGTATGTGCTCCATACTGGCGCTAGTCCTTTTTCAGCGACCATCTTTGAAACCAGTAGATACTGCCAGCAACCTGAAAGTCTTACTACACACGCTAAGCGAGCAATTGATACACGCAGTCTTGAAGCCACTTGGTTGTCTCGAGTGCTTCACTACATGAATCGCTAGTCATCTAGTGGTGATATACTATTAGCAAGCGTTCGACTACCATGTGCCGATCCAAGACTCCGACATCGAGTTATATAAACCGCTGTTCACTAGGTACAGTGTCACAGACAAAGCACACTACAACCGCCCCTTAACACTCACCATGGTCCTCCAAGTCAAAGGCAAAGTGGAAGCCTACAAGCTTCCTAATTACGGCAGCATCTCGAATGTCTTCTTCGGTCAGCCTTTTCCCCCAACACCCCCCTAGGAGTCTGATAACATCACGGGCTGACGAAGAAAAAAGACGACCTCCTCGGAACAGAGAAGCGCGAATCGGGAAATCCAATCGTTGGCTCCTGGTTTCGAATCGAAAAAGGTCCAGAAGCAACACCCCCAGAGTATACCTACGATGAAGTTGGAATAGTCATTGAGGGTGAGTGCACGAGCCGCATGTTCCTGGAACCGAAGCCGAGGTTAGCTGATTGGAACCATTGTGTAGGAGAGATCAACCTTCGTGATGAAACTGGGCAGACCGCCACCGTCAGACCGGGCGATACCTTCTTCTTCCCTCGAGGCAGCACCATCACCTTTTCCTCGGATAGTTACGGGGTGGCGTGGAAGTGTGGGGGGCGTTTGCCGGCTAAACTCTGAGTAAACTGGGGAGTGCCATGTATCCAAGTCTTGAATGAATCGTACATCCATTATCATGTATCACAGAAACAATCAATGATCCTCTGCTGACGGAGAAGTATCGGCTATCCTCAAACACTAGGACTTGTACAGTGTACGATGGGGCAATCAACATCTTGATAGACCAGCAAGGCTGAATGTAATCGCAACAATTTATGGTAAGGCGTATGTGTCAACATAGTTCCTTATCACTGGGCACTATATAAAGGACTCTCAGAGATACGCAGGTTAAGATGTTCCACATGCTTTTCTTGATCTGCGACTCTACTCCACCCTAGGGTTCTGAGCTAGCCTTACCGGATTCGGCAAAAAAGTGCGTTGGACTCTGTCGCGTCACCCGCAGCGCGATCAACGTGCATACATCAGGAGTACGAGGTATATTCAGCTGAACGATAACAATTTGCAAGTCAGCATCATCTCGAGATGCTTTCGGGATGCGCGGGCGCCGAAGTGCTCTATGGAATGGCATGACATGGTCACCAATCCTTTTCTTGTGACATTATTTAGCGAAGCCGGATCTCTGGTTCTAAGCCTTGAAAACCGCTTCTCCGTATTATCAACCATACTCGCAATATGTCTCGCTCAAAAGAGGGCTTCCTATGGACTCCCACCGAAACGACCTCTGGCCTGCCCACGGATGCAGTGCAACCAAGCTCCCCGACCCTCCGCGACCGCTATGACGTGATCGTCATCGGCGCTGGGTTCGCGGGCCTCACCGCAGCCCGCGACCTGAGTCAGAAGCACGGTCTGGCCGTTCTCCTGGTGGAAGCCCGCGATCGCATCGGCGGGCGCACATGGACGGCCCGAGTGCTCGGGGAGGAGATCGAAATGGGCGGCACCTGGGTGCACTGGAACCAGCCGCATCTCTACGCCGAGCTGCATCGGTACGGACTGCACCGGAATCTGAAGACCTCCGCGGGGACCTACGCGCCCCATGAGCAATTGTTCAAGTCGTCAGGCGGTGCGGTGGAGAAGGTTTCCTACGAGCAATATGGACCGGTTCTGGAGCGTGTGGCGCAGAGGGTCTTCGCGATCGACGGATTGGACAGTCGGGCCTTGATGCCGTATCCCCACGACCCGCTGCGGGCGCCTTCACCGTGGAAGCAGTACGATCATCTCAGTGTTCAGGACCGGTTGGACCAGCTGGCGGACTTGGGTCAATGGGAGAAGGAGTTGTTCGCGTCCAACGTTAGCACGTTCGGCAGTGCCCCCGCGAAGGAGACAGGGTTCTCCGACGCACTGCGCTGGTTTGCGCTCGGGGGTCACAGCATGGCGGGAGTGTTCGAGCTGGCAGGGATTTACAAGCTGGGTCGGGGCGGGATGACCTCCCTTGCTCGGGCGATTCTCAGCGAGTATGCCGGGGACATTAGTTTTAGCACGGTTGTCGCCGAAGTGAACCATGTGGTGGATGGTGTTGAGGTGCGCACGAAGGATGGACGGAGGTTCCGAGCTGGCGCGGTCATCTCAACGATCCCACTGTAAGTCCTCTCGTCACGTATGTTCCGGCAGTGCAAATGCAGTTGCTAACGCACAGCCAGGAACTGTCTCGGCGACATCCGATTTAACCCTCCCCTCTCACCCCTTCGTCAAACCGCCGTGAGCCAAGGCCACATCAACCGCGGCGCAAAGATCCACTTCAAGCTACGTGAAACGCTGCCCGGCTGGTTCTGGACGGCCAATGACGCCAGCGACTCGGAGTTCGTCTTTGCGTTCTCGGACCACAACGGCACACAGTTTTCGGGACCATCGGGCACGTGGTGCATAGGCTTCGGGTACAATGGGCATTTGACCCAGAAGACCGATAGTGAGTACATCGTGCAGAGGTTCAAGCGGGATATCAAGCCCGACGTCACTGTTGAAGCATACGCGACCCATGACTGGATGAACGACCCGTATTCCAAGGGCGTGTGGGCCTGCTGGGGCCCCAACAGTGCATCGGCCCATCTGCAAGAGCTTCAGAAACCGCACGGTCGCATTCTTTTCGCAAGCGCGGACTGGGCGGATGGTTGGCGGGGCTTTGTCGATGGAGCCATCGAGCGAGGTCAGGTAGCTGTTCGAGATACTGTGCGGCTGTTGAAGGATATTTCCACGGTGTCTGCCAAACTGTAACTGAAGATGCCGTCACGAATGTGGACCTTGCTTTGAGGTAAAGTCTGCTTTGTTACCTGAATGGTGTGTAACAAACTATCTGCCACAAAACACAAGGCTAAAGAACAATGAAGGTCAGATTAGCAGCATAGAAGATAAAATGAGATAAAGTATTAGGCTTACCACCACACCTCAAACTTATTGAGTAGGAATGAATTCTGTCGTCCTTAACGTTTGTGATGTATTGCCTCGGGGCTCTACATCAGGCCCGGAGAGACATGAAGCAAGTTAGAAATTGGTCGGCAAAGACAGATCTAAGAAGTCATCGAAGGCAAGATCTAGGTCGGTCATGTCACCTATCGCCCAATCGTGGTCTCCGGTATAGTATACAACGGGATTTTGTGCCACGGGCGCATAAGTCGCGTTCATCGACATACTTTCTTCGTCTCCAGTCGCGGCAGGAGCCGCTCGCGTACGCTTATTCCGAGTCGCTTGTGGAGACTGCACGGCAGGCCCATGCACATCGAGTTCATCCCCGTACAAGCCTGGATCACTCTCGTGGATTTGCTGGAGAGCTTTGCGGCCCAACCGGGCCATCGCTTCGGCAGAGTACCACGAGACACTCAAGCCCTCAAGAAGTGAACAACACGCGTCGATGTCGGTTGCAGCTCGTTTTCGATGGGTGATAAGATTGCTGGACCGGTATTGGCGATAGAACACGCTCATGGACAATGCAACTGCATACGATACGATCGGCAAAGGAGGCAAGTCCTCGGAACACTCTCTCGCCACGATGGATTGAACGCGAATGGCTGCGAGACCTCGTTGATTGCGTGCAAAGTTGTGCGATTCGGAGCTCGCGTTGTCCATCGTTCGGTGAAAGACAATTGCGACTGCTTGGTAATAGAGCTCCAAAAGTTCTGCACAAAGACAAACCCCGTCAGTCTCTCCCTACCGCGACAGTACCTACATCGCTCCATTCGGGATAAGAAGAAAAAATCACTTACCCAAGGAGGCAAAGCCAAGTTCCTCGCCGGAAGGGCCCACTATTTCCTCAAAGCTGGGAAATGGTTTCTCTGCCCTATGCTCGTGGTTGGTTCCGGGTCGGTAGAATAAGATAGCCTCGGACAAGAGTTCCGAGATCCTGAACCAGACGTCAAAGGCGGTTGTAGGGGTTTCGGGGGCATTCATTGCGCTGCACGGCCTCTCTATACTAATATCATGGTCGTTGATCAGGGCCGGGCGACCAAACATCGATGCAAGAAGCTTGTCCAGGGTCCATAGACTCCAGAAGAGCTTGATATGTACAAAGTCGGCATCGCCCGGTCGCTTGAGGTGCATACCCACGGTTTGTGCTTGATGAATGGCCTGTGAGAGATGCATCGACGCAATTTCCGATCCTTCGGAGTTCTCACAGTGCAAGGCCATCAATGCAAGCACTCGAATCCGGGTCACACGATCCCGCTCGAGCCCTTCGGTCAGCGCATCTTCGAGTCCTTGGTAGACTTCCGTACAGAACACTCGAGGCGACACCACGGCGGCATTCTCGGTCAAGTAAAGATGCGGAGCAGCAGCTCTTGCCTTGGCTGCAACTAGACAAATTGCTCGCTCCAAGAAAGGGGAGGAGATAGCTATGCGTGGATCGACGACGGGCAGGATGTGGTTGACCTGGGAGAAATAGATGCCGAAGAGTGGAAGACGGGTGGATGAAGGCAGTGGCCTACAGGCCTTCCGTGCAGACTCGAACCGACGACGAATTAAAGTGTCCAACACATGAGGCGGATACACTTCCGCTGCGGGATACGTTGGCGCTGGGTTGCTCATGTCATCGGTAGCATTCCTCGATGGATCTCCTCCACTTTCAACGCCAGAGGCAGGAATCCAGAGTCCCACTCGGTCGCGTAGAAGGGTAGAATTCGTACCCCCTGCCAGTCTTT